CATCCGGCCCCCCGACCCCGTCGTCTTAGAGTGGGCCCTCGCCGTGCGCGACTTCGTGCTCGACCAGGTCATCGAACGCGCGCACCCGCCCGCGCACCCCGCGCGCACCGAGCTCGAGCTCCGCCTCTCCGAGGACGACCCGCGCGCCCCGCCGGATGCACGCACGGCGCGCAAGGCCGCGCCGCCGCGCGAGATCGCACACGCGATACAGGCCTTCGCCGCACAGGCGGAGAGGGACAGGCTGCGCGATGGCAGCTTTGAGTGCCCCGTGTGCTGGGAGGACAAGCTCGGCACCGCGTGCATGTCGCTCGCAGCGTGCAGGCACGTTGCGTGCAAGGAGTGCCTCGCCGCCTTCTGGGAGAGCAGGATCGAGGAGGGGCGCGTCGGGGAGCGCGATGTCGTCTGTCCGAAGAGCGAGTGTAAGGCGGAGGTGAGCCCGGCGGAGGTTCGGGAGGCTGTAGCGAAGGACGTTTATGACAAGTATGAGCGCTTCCTGCTGCAGAGGGCGTTGGACGGGGACGCGGAGATGATGCCGTGCCCGAGGGAGGGCTGCGTGCAGATGGCGGCGGTGGATACCGATGACGCGAGCATGGGGCGCTGCGCGTACTGTCTGTACGTGTTTTGCGTCGCGTGCAAGCGCAAGTGGCACGTGCCACTGGGGTGCGAGGAGGCCGTTGCGGATGACGAAAGGGAGGATGCGAGGGAGATTGCGGAACGCCTGCAGGACGCGACGGAGGAGGAGCGCCAGCGCACGCGCGCCGGCCTCTCCGTGGCGACCTGGGAAAAGGTCGAGACCGCCATGGCTTTGTGCGAGATGGGCGGTAGGCTCTGTCCGAAGTGTGCTATGTTCATCGTCAAGAACGGCGGCTGCGCGCTTATGACGTGCGCGTGCGGCTGCAAGTTTTGCTGGAACTGCGGCGAGGACACTTTCTACGAGCATTACCGCCCCGGTGGGTGTAGGCTGTATGAGGATGGCGAGATGCAAGCGGTGCATGAGCAGATTTATGACTGGATTTACGACTAGGCTGTCTCTAGAGGGTGGCGAAGTAGAGTGGAGAGACGTGAAGGAAGGGGAAAGTGCGCATACCAAGAGCTAAGCTTGTTGGGAGCACTATCAAAAATAGAGGGCCATCTGGCACTCCTTTTTTTCGAAGCCGCACTTCTCGTAGAACGGGGCATTGTCTTCGGCGCAATCTAAAATCACTTTGTAGCAACCCTTCTCTCTCGAAATTTCGACCAGTTTGGAGATGATCTTCTTCCCTAGCTGCGCCTTCCGAAACTCAGAATCCACGACAATGTCCTCAATATGTCCGCAGATGCCGCCGCCTCGGATGTACTTGTGCTCCATCATTACAGCCCCAGTCGCCACCACAGACCCCTCCGCGGTGACTGCCACGATGGTCGTGCGTGATCCGTCGGCTCGCTCCTTCCTAACAAGCTCGGCAAACTTTGCTCGGGGGACGACGGGCGCATGCGTCAACTGAGATAAAATCTTGAAGAAACCATTGTCGCCGTCCTCAGCTTCTACCGCCCTTATCCTAATCTCTGCCATTCTGAACGGCGCGAAGCTGATGGGAGCAGTTCACGGGAAACTATCCCGTTTTCCTCTCGGATGCAGGGATTGGTGTGGTCCCTATTGGAATCGTGCTTTGGGAGCACACCAATGCCGGGGCGAGGTGGCTCTCCAGCTCGAAACTGTTCCAGCACATCTAAAAAAAAATAACCATCACATCGTAGATTATGATGTCAAATCGCTCTGTGGAGTGTTCCAGGAAATCCTATTCCCTACTTAAAGTCAAGGCCTGAAACGTGATTATGTTGCATCCCAAAATAGCACGAGCGATCATTCCAGTACAGTGTGATGCGATCTATGCGTTCAGCTTGATGCGCAGTGTACTTTTAAATCCCGCCGCAGCTCTGCTCTTTCGCAATGCCTCTTGCCAATACGCACAGCTCGCAAGTGCGCAAATTTTGACAGCATCTATCGCTAGTAGTAGCATGTCGAATACATAGCTCTCCGTCAGCGGTCCATTCAGGGAGCTTTGCTTCTTGCCAGATTGTTACGCCACTGACCACAAGGGCCAACAGGATTGAGTTGATCGTTTTGCCCGACCATGCCTAAGAGCAGTAGATCTCTGAGATGGTGACCATGTCTTAGTCAAACGTCCATGGCATTGCGTGCACGATGTGGTTCCAGCAAAACTGCAAAACGCGAAAACTTTTGGCTCCGAGATTACATATGACGTTTTTGTAGTCCGCCGAGAGAAGGGCAGCACGTCCGTAAAAACACAAACTCTTATTGCGCATGCGCCTCCCAAACGTCCATGCAAGTCGTTTTTTTCACATTGCGCCTTTCTAAAGCATATTTTACTTCGAAGCCTATGAACACTTTTTATACTTTGAGAAGTAGGTTTTCTTCCACAACTTTTGCATTGCACTCGCAAGTCTTCTACTGGGAAAGAAGCACAAAAGCAATTTTCAAGAGCGAAAGAGGGAATGAGTCGAAGCTACTGAGGGTATGAATCGAAAGGCTTTACTATATATATATATAACAAGCTACAGAAAAATAAATTAAGGGGCAACTAAAACTGGAGGCTCCTTTCCAGTAGCGGTGATAACAGTTTGATACTCGCCGGAGAACCCAAAAGACATTTGTTCTTAGTTCGAGGTCAGAGCCGTAGTCCATTCCTTTCAATCTTGGCAAGCTTCAATTGCCATTGGAGTAACATGGACCCCATCCGCGACAGATTCTAGGCTTTTTCCAAACCTAGGCTTCCATACCTTTGCCAACCGCAATTTACGGGCCTCCAAAAGTGAACGGGGTTGAAAGCATCCCGCAAGTGGCACTTGCCTCGAAGTGCGGCGGGGTACGCCTCGGCCTAGATTCATGCTATCAAGCATTGCTGCAAGCTGAAAATGGGCGCCGGTGTGATATCCTTTCTTCACTTCCCCCCTTCGACGAGATGAAGACTTCGTTCTGTCGGCACAGGGTTGCAAAGACTTTTCAAGTAAAACAAATGACGTCAGAATGCCCGAATAATCCGAGGAATAATGCTCCCTGAAACATTATACGGCTGAACTTACTCTGGTGGCGAGTCTAAAAGTATCTTTGACCGTGTACATCGTGAATCACTGTTTGTTCAAGAACAGCAAGCGATTTCGATGTTGAGGTATCGGGGCTTCAAAAATTATGTGTGAGGAAAAAGACGTTGCTCGTCTTGGTGAGCTGGGAGGCTGAGTATAAATACTAAATTGAGGCATAGCAATATTGCAATCTTGAATCCCTAGGATTCTCAGTCGTACAGCAATTGAAGAGGAATTCTCGTCCTCCCGAAACGCAATTCTTTCACACTAAAAGTCCCACGCAGAAGAGGAGTTTATTTTTTGGGTTGAATTTGGGTAATATGTGCTTGTCTTTCCGTCTGTTGCGGGACAGAAGCAGTCAGTTGTCATCTGATTTCTCAGTGTCGGGTGCAGTGATGCAAGAGTAGTAAAATTTCATGCTGGACCTGAGGAATCTCTGACGAGCTATGAAGTGCACTCAGCTGGGCACTTCAAAGGACAATTGCATACACTGATACAGATTTTGAAGGTGTCCTCTACACTCCACTTCGGCTCAAATATCATAATGCGCGAGGTGGTGCGATTCGTTCATCAATGTAAGTATACAAACATCTATAGCGTGTGGTCTGAAGCGATTCTCTTCAGACACGCTGGAAGGAAGGGATGGTTTTCAGTACATGCGTATAAGGCTTGTATTAGAACTTTCGCCCAACTTGTTGTTTCTGACTTCCCCCTTTTTCTTCAGTTGTGCACTGCCTTTCTGATAGTGTTGCCGCCAAATTCGTCTTCTCCTATGCTTGGAGAAGCAGCTATCAGGTACAGTGCCTATCTCATCGAATCTCCGGACGAAAAAGAGCATCGAGTCCGTTTTTTATTTGAATACGCCTTCTGTACACATAACCTTTGCGTCTCTTGTAGTCTCAGTTGCCAGACGCCGATCAGATTCGGATGAATTCCAGTACGTTCAAACATTAAAATTTAGTGCTAGTTGTCTGCTGTTAACGCTGTATTGATCGGCTTCTATTAAAATTGAAGGCCTGTGGGTTTATAAAGCTAGCAGAAAAGACAAACAGCTCTGTTGCATACGTCCCCTTAATCTACATACAAGCTAGCAGCGCCTAGCGGAACAGTGAAAACAGAGCAAAATGTCGTCTGCGGGATGTTCACAGCTGTGGGGTTCTATAACAAGAAGGCCAACTTTTCCGTTTCATGCTCATGTCCTCAGAAACATGTAAGCACTATTTCTTTTTGTGTAAAATGCAGCAAAATTGCTTACAGAACAACAAACTGGCATATTCGAGACAAAGCTCTTGCCGACTTAGGCCCTAAGGGCCTCCTTTAAGACAGCATGGACAGCCATGTTTGGATGTATATGTTTGCGATTTTCAAAATATTACATGTCCAATAATTTAGTGTATTGTGTCAGCGCACCGTGATCCGTAAATTGGCTCAAGGGGTGCATCATACCGGGCTATCGATAGGGAAGCGAACGGTCTTTCTGAGCAGTGATGCAAGGGAGTGGCTGCAAAAAAGCCGCAAATCTCATTATCTTACAGTGCCTGGTTCGATATAGTGCCGTTTTCGGCCCACTGACAGAGGGAGGCACTATATCGCGATCCCCGTGTACTGGCATTCAGGGACGTCAATAAAATGATTAAATTGAATATTAATGTATGCTAAATTGGATCAAGATTGAATTCAATCGCACTTATGCGGTAGGCGACAGCCAATGGTGTGCTCTCGTATGGCACGTTGGTAGCGACAGATTCCATTATATTAACTTTGTGTGCGCCATCATACTGTTAAGAAAAGTATTAAATGGACCAATCAGGTGCACGCTGACGTCCATACATGTCCAAACATGCCCGTCCATGCTGTCTTAAAGGAGGCCCTTAAAAGACGTTGGACAGTCACCAAAGGGGAGCAGTTCTGTGCAAGAAAATTACGAGAAAGCCAGCGTGCGATGCAGTATGGATAAGCCAAGCAATTCGGTTGCTGAAGACCATGGACGTTGTACATCCCAATGCGGCACTACGACGAAATCCGCAAAGATCCTCATGGATAAGCAATCGTTCTTTTTAGTGCGCTTGGCAAAGTATTCCTGTAACGCAGAAAGGGAGGCTATGCCCTGTCTTTTTAAAACTAGCTGGACATTAATTTAGCCAGAAACGCGTGGATAAACGCCTTCTGCTACGAGATGACACTGGCGTAACTATTTCTTCTTTAATGCTGGACACCCTACCCTTTGGCAACGGGGTCTTTCTCCTAGGAAAGATGAATGGCTTTCTGTCAGGATGACTCACTACAAGAAAAATTCAAGCCATACACTGGTTTTCGGGTTTCACGCTTTGCTTCCTGTAGAAACGGCGTTCAATCTTTGGGATATACTTCCACGCATTTGCACTGTTGCATCCGTAAAACTTGTATGGGTTTGCAGCCGAGGAAGGTTCGTTTTCGACCTCTACAGGCAACTGAATCAAGTATGTGTCTCCTTTAGTAAGAACCGAAGAGCAAGTCCCGCCATCCAACATTGTCGTTGCGTAGAAGAACTTCTGTGGGGCACAGCCCTTGAATACCCTCATCAGACGGAGCTTGAAAATGAACGTGACTACCCCCGGGAATGGAGTTGAGGCTATGAAACGTCTCACTGAAACTGCCCTTGCCCTGACAAGCGATTTCGTGAAACCATACCTCTCCTGAAACGTGATATCTGGACAGCTGCATGCCGAAGCGATTGCAAGGCTACAAACCAGAAGGAGAGCTAGGGAAAGGCCTCTCATGGTTTCGCAAATTTTTGTGGAAGTCTTGAGTTTGGCGGGTGCGTGTATCTTACCGGCCTGGAGCGAATGCCCGTGAGGCCCGCTTCTTGCGCGGTGGTCAGTCCTATATGCACAACCCGGTTTGAACAGACGCATATCTTTTGTAAATCCAGAGAAGTCAAAAAAACCTGAATTACCAATTGAGCTTACCCTTACATGATAGTGAGAGTCTGTTACAGTAGACCCCCCGTAATAGTGCACCCCTGTGCCAGGCCTCACAAAACGCACTACTGACGTCATGCACTAAAGAAGCAACAGCAAAGCTCATTTACTGTACGACATGAAATGCTCTGCAATGAGCGTCTGGCGGTTCATCTTTCTATTCTGGTCGTAATAAGCATCAAAAAGTGCACGTTTCGCACGGCGCAAACCCTGACCTGCCCCTGTGAATTTTGCAGTCTACTGTGCTGATCATGAGGTAACTGTTGCTGGAGCATTTTGTCTCGGATCCGTAAGGCACGTTGCTGCAGTGTGGCAGCAGAGATCGGCAGTTTCGCTGCTCGAGCAATGTGAACAAAGTCGAACAGCGAACGGTCAATGTCTGGGAACCGCGCAGCTGGAAAGGTTTTCAGCTGCATGTTGTGGCTATGCCCTTGCATTTTTCTTTGAACTAACGCCGATTCAGTTCTAATCTTCTGCACAAGGCGCACACTGCAACCAAAAGATGCAGCAACTCCATAAACTGTTTCCCCATTCTCAAGAGATTCAAGGACTTTTCCTTTCTGTGCCAACGTTAATCTTTTGCGCTGTGCCTTCGGTTTCGATGAGCTCACGTTTGCCATGATGATGAGCACGGCAGTGCAGATAAGGATGCCGGTGGTGGCTGATACCGCAGATGTCTTCTCGGGGAACAAGCTCTAAGGCGCGCTACAGCTGCATTGCTGGCATATCAAGCGTACAGTTGTACACGTTTCAGAATCGGTGACATGGCCTGAAAAGCGCACTATTGACGTAAATGTACTAACAAAGAGCGCACTATTACGGAGGCCCCCCCTGTACTACAGAAATCAGATCAGAATGGTCACCACCTTTGCATGCATCATGGCCCATGATTCATGGGCCCGACGCTTCGTAGTCACATCGGAAAAAATCTCACAGCCTCTACCCTTGAAGGGTAAGTGCAAGTTTGTTTGCACAACACTGCAGTCGCGCCTCCGTTCAAAGGGGTTATGAGAAGGTGAAAAAAATCATGAGTCTTTTTACACGTAATGTATAAGCACAGAATCCCCGCAGTGACCTTAGCAATCGCTTGGGCTCAGTACAAGTGGTAAATTCAAACAATGTTTATCCGTAACGACCAAAGTATGAAGGTTTTGGTCTGGAGTGACAACTTTTCAACAGCATGGCTGCAGTTCCAAGGCTTCACCTCCCGTTTGCAGTTTTCCGATGCCATCATTAGTCGAGACGTCTACAGATGAAAGAGGTGATTTTGACCCCAGTTTGCAGTAATATCTGTTGCCTTCGACGCATTGTGCTGACCGCCGGCCTACATTATTTTCCACCATTGTAAATGGCGTGGGTTCTACCTGCGCCTATGAGGGCTAGTTCCCTCACTCGGAATTGAGGAACACAAAAAGATTCTCTCTCTCAGATAAATGATACTGCAGCTTGCAGTATCCACGAAGGGCTGGGTTCTCTTTCCGGTATGAGGTTATACCCTCGGCTAAAAGCCTCCATCTTTCAACTTCAAATACAAGCCAGCTAAAAATACTTCTTTGACGCCGCGTCTACTGACTTGTTTCTACTCTCCTCAGTAGCCAATACGCGTCATTTCAATCGCACTTCTTAATTTCTCCAAGATTTAGTCCTTTATGCAGAAACATTTCCTGCATCTTTTGAACTTTATGCAGCACCTGTGCAAAGCTTCCATCAAGGATCTCCTTTGGATTTTCTAAAATCTATTTAGATTTTGCGGCTTTCTGGACAAACAGAATGACTGCCCAATACTCAAAAATCTATGCATGTTGTGTATTAGTATTTCTTAGAGGTTCTCCACTCGCACAAAATTTGCAGGTCCAATGCAAATTTTAGTCTTGGAACCAGGATATGAAAAATTCGCTCCCCACTCATGCAGTTCAATCTAATTTGGTTTGGAACTTGGATTAGATTTTTTCGGAACAGGGTCCAAATGCAGGATATTTGGACCCTGTTTTCTAGGATCCAATTCAACATCCGAGCCGAAGTAACATTGTTGTACCACTTCCATTGGTCCAACACTGGACACGAAATGGCGGGAAACAATAACACCGAAACTTCAAAGCACAAAAGTACATCCGCAGTCCACACAAGTATGACTTCCCTGCGTCGGTTTCTCAAAGAGTTAAGCACGCAACTATGGGGGCCGGAAAGGGGATGGACGGATGACGAAAGTGTTGCTGCTTGCAAAGCCTTTATCAAGTCCTCAGGGGATAGCACACGTAGGAACGGGAAAAAGAAGGACAAGTTCGCAGCAGAGGTCTATGATGCGTTCACCAAAATCAAGCAACACACTTCAGAGTGCCCTTTTCTTCAGTTGACCGTACAGGTGAAGCTATAGTACAACGCTACAAGAAGGTGCGATTTGAATGCCTGAAAATGGAGAGCATAATTGCGCCTATCAGCCCCAAGAATCTCACAAGATTACTGGGTGATGACGACATTTTTCGGGCCGCTACCGCAGTGTATAACGGAGACGCAACAGTGGGAGATTTGTACTCCTATATCAGTGACACAACGCTTGGTGTGGGCCTGCCGTTTGCATTTACTCAGTGTCTGCACTATATTCGGACGACTCACACTTGGCAATTGATTTGTGTGTCCAAATTTAAATCTCGGCGAGCATCTGAGGTTGTAGAGGAGTTGACACAATCAGTGGAAGGCATTCATGGAGTACAGTTGGCGGGCAGGAACCGGATTTGGATGTACAAGATTCAAACTCACCCTCGCGATCTACGAGTCAAAATAGGGTTGCAGAAGTGGAGCTGAAACAGTCTGACGTGAAGCGCCGTGTTGACGTGAAGAAATCTCAGACTGCTCCCGAAATGGCGAAACGTATCGCAGCAATCGCCCACGAGTCTGATGGAATTCACGCCCATGTGTGGTACAATTGCCAAGTGGCGCTACTGTACTAGGCGGGCGCCAGAGGCCTCGCCAAGTACAGTAGTAAGATGTTAACCGATACGGTGCATACGTGGCCAGCACGTGTAGATGTGGCCACGTGGGAGTCCACGTGTAGTTAGTGGCACCAGCTAGTGCAGGTGTACACGTGGTGCGCGACCGATCGGTGGGTTACTACAGTAGTCATTTTTAGTTACCGTAAGCTACAGTAAGCTGGCTACAGTATGTACAGCTACTGTAGTCCGTCCGGTGACACCGCCCTACTAGGGGGTATAAGATAGGGGGCACCGGGCTGGAGGTTAACCGAGGCAAGCACGCCTCCCCTTACTTCCTACCCTAGTCCTTTACCGTACGGTTAAGTAAGTCCCTCAGGTTTCCAGCTCGCCACCGGTCGTACTGCTCTACACCCTAGTACGACTGCGCGTGTCCAGTGCGGTGTACCTCCCTTGTCCTGTGCTTCCTACTGTTCCGGATTATTCTACCTGACGCTTCAGTGTAGCGGTCCCCCAAGCTCCCTCATTTTAGGTACAGCCTGTCTTTTTCCGTTTACGGTTTAGCGTCCCTACGGTTGTACCACACCTTGCAGAGGCATCGCGGAAACGAAACAAAATAGCGGAAGAATTAGTTAAAGTTGAACGAGAAAGCGCGTTGATGAATCTTTTTTCAATGGAAGGTACTGATCCCTCCCTGTGAAAGAGATTTTTGATAGCGGCTCAAAGGAGAGCACTCTCCCAGATTGAATTACAGGATCAGTGAGAGATTGACACCACAACTCTTTCAATGAAAGTTAATGTACCGAACAGTCCCCGATATTCTCCTGCTAGTGAAGCTGTGTAGGAATTGTTGAGGCCGTAAATTTCGGTCTTCGTCCTGCTTTGCTAGGGCGTCGGGAGTCGGAGAATGGCGTGTCGTGGAGGTTCGGAACGGCGCTGCCGCTAATGCTAGGGCGGCGTGCGGCGGAGTAGGGCACGTCGTAAATCATTGCAGATGCGAGAGTGAGAGATGAGGGAGAGGGGAACAGGAAGAAGTGGAGGAGGAAGTGGAGGAGGAAGCGGAGGAGAAGAGGAGGCAGAGGAGGAAGAAGTGGAAGTGGACGAGATGTAGTGGACGAGAGGTACGAGATGCAGTGAGTTGTAAAAGAGGGCTGGATGTGAAATGGAAGTTGTTTTCGTATTTGGGAGGAGTGACCGGCAGGACAGGGGGCGGATACAGTAAGGCCGCAAAAACCGTTGATTTGGACGGGCGGCCGTGTCGCAGAAACGAGCGGGCGCGCCTGTGCCCGCGCGCACATATGCGACGCGCATGTCTCGGCCTCTCTTCTCACACCGCCTTTCTCACACCGCCTTTCTCACACCTCCTTTCTCACACCGCCTTTCCCGTACCGCCCTTCTAACAACGTCCTTCTCACACGGCCTTTCTCACACTGCCCTTCCTGCACCGCCCCCCTGACACTGCCCCTCTCACACCTCGCGCACACTGTGTTCCTCCTGCCGCCGCGCGTGTCATACCGGGAGTCGGAGGGGAGGGGGGTGGGATTTAAAAACAAATTATGCCACATTCCAAAGTTTCCGCGACCTTGCGCCGCCGCCATCGGCCAAGATCCGGGCAGAAACGGAAGCGTCGTACGGGGGCGAGAAGAGGCGGGAGAAAAACACAGGACGAGTGAAAAGAAATCCCCACACACGCGCGGGCGCGCAGGCACGCAAACCGGCGCAACAGGGCGGCAACAACTAGTTCAACGACGGCGGGCTTGGCAGCACTCGCTTGGGCGCGATGCGGCGCGTCGTCGCCCCCAAGCTGCTCTGCGACTGGCGGTGCGATAAGTTCATGGAGTATGGGTCGTTGTACGAGACGGGGATGGCCTCGTTCTTAAACGTCGCCACGGACGGCCCGCGCTCTGCTGCCACGGTCGCCGTCAGCGCGCCCGTCGGGAACAGCGCCAGGTAATTGTCGCGAAATTGGTGCCACGAGAGCTGCCAGGGCGTTGTGCCCATGTGCGC